CAAACCACTGGGTGATTAGTGTATTAGTCTAGAAAAGAGATAAATGGTCATGGTTGGGATTGGGTGGTAGCCACAGGAATAGATAACAAACACATCTGAGAACTATTTAGGTGGTAAAATTTATGGAATTTATAAAATTAATGGGTGGGATAGAAGAGGTTAAAGAGAATGACTTCAAGAGTATTTTTAAGTTAAACTTTGTCCCATATTTCATTGCCTTGAAAATAAATATTCATTTAGGACAAGATAGCAACATTTGGAAAGTACCTTTTTTTTTTTTTTTAATAGAGACTATTCCAGAACCAGAGGTGCTGTTGATAGGAGATCACTTAGGGAGACTTCCTAGATTAAAGTGCACACGAACATTGTGTGAATAATCAGTCTGTTGTCTCTCAATGCCAATTTATCCTTCACTGCCTGCTCTGCAAAAATTCAGACAGACTCCTTAAATATTCTTCCTTTGCCAGCTGGCATGATGTTATGTGTTGTCAGTAGCAGGTGCAGGAGGAAGAGGCTTCCCTTCCTGTTACAGTTGCTCCTCTTGGTGGGCTCCTGTAGCCCCCATGTCTTCTCCAGCATCCAGCTTCTGTAGTGTTGAGCACTTATCCAGGGCCAGGCTCCTGCAATACACGTAGCACCCAAGCCAACAGCTTCCTCTGGCACTCTCTGGTAAGGTCAGAATCTCAGCCTGGAGAGGGAGAGCCCCCTTCTTTGGGTGCTCCCTCTCAGCCTTAAGGGGAGTGGCTCCTCCTCATACCTACTTTTCCCGCCTTCATTTTTTTTTTAAATTATGTATTTATTTAAGTAATGTATGCACCCAGCGTGAAACTTGAACTCAGGACCCCAAGATCAAGAGTCACATGCTCTACTGACTGAGCCAGTCAGGTGTCCCTGCTTTCTAATATTCTTTAGCTTTCTTTTCACTTTTTTTTTAAAGATTTTATTTATTTGATGGAGAGGGAGAGAGAGAACACAAGCAGGGGGAGGAACAGAGGGAAAGGGAAAAGCAGGATCCCTGCTGAGCAGAGACACCCCCCCGCCCCGCAACAGATGTGGGGCTGGATCCCAGGACCGCTGGGCCATTACCTGAGTTGAAGGCAGATGCTTAACCGACTGAGCCCCAGGTGCCCTCTTCTTTTGACTTCTTACTATCCAAAATCCCTCCCTATGGCAATATCTTGCTATAATTAATAATTCTTTGTATTAAGCTTAACTCTATTCAAATTACTGTGTGGTCTTGTGTCTTGATTGAATCCTGACTCATAAAGCCATCCCCAAAAGTTTGCTGTTGTGATTCTCTCAATTTTGAGCATTCAACAGCCCATCTATATTTGTCAACAAAGGGCTCCTGGTGGTTGACCAGAGATTGCTGGTCTGACCATGTTTGTAATTATATTGCGAAAGGATTGAAACCAATGCTGCAAAACTCCCAAATACCTAGAATTGGGTTTACTTCTATTCAATTTTAAACACATTTATGACTTTAAATGTTTGAAAATAGAACTTACAGGGATATTTTCATTTTTTTTCCTGAAAAATAAGTTTATGTGTAAATCTAAAGCAACTTATATTGGGGTCTTTATACTTAAACACTGTGCTACCTTCCACAATACAAACAGGCAAAGTTTGAGACGAAATATATTTAAAGCAAAAACTATAAATTCAATATTTCAAAATATGAGACAGGAGTTTAGTAGATTGCAGACCAAGGATGGCTTCTGACAGAAATGAGTACTTCTTTCAGCAGCATGTGATAATGTTGATCCTTTCTCTTCTTTTTTTTTCAATTGCCCTAACACTCCTGTTTTTTCATTCCTTCTCAATTTCCTTTACAGCTTCCTCTATCTCTACCTACCCTTTAAAATGTCAGTGTTGGGGTGCCTGGGTGGTTCAGTCGGTTAAGCATATGACTTTGGCTCTGGTCGTGATCTCAGAGTCCTGGCATAGAGTCCCTCCCCACCCCACCCCACTCCAGCCGGAGCCCTCAGTTGAGCTCAGTGGGAAATCTGCTTGTCCTTCTTCTCTCTCTGCCCCTCCTCATCACTGCTCGCTTATGTTCTCTCTCTCTCAAATAAATAAAGCCAATAAAAATAAAATGAAATGAAATAAAATATCAGTGTTTCCCTGTTTTCTTCCTTGGCTTTCATTTCTCATTGATCCTGGGTAGTTTATCCATTTTTAGGTAATGCGTCCTTCATTTATATCTGCAACCTAGGCCTGTCCCCTGAGCTCAAAATTCAATTATGTGATCCAGCCTCTAGTCTGGGAGTCAGATTAGTCTCTGGGCCAAATTCGGTACACTGCCTGCTTTTATAAAATAAAGTTTTATTGGAATACAGCCGTACCCACTTCTTTACATATTGTCTATGACTGATTTCCTACTACAATGACAGAGTTGAGTAATTGTGACAGAGGACACAAGGGCCTGTGAAACCTATAATATTTATTATCTGGCCCACCACAGAAAAAGTTTGTTGACCCTAAGACGTGCTTTCTACTGAGTTTAGGCATGACTGGGCATGACAGGGCATGACTGGCCCACCAACAATAGATGTACCTGAATTTCTCTGTATGAAAGAGGGAGTGAAGATGAACTCTGGGATTCATAACCAAGTGTCATGGATAAAGACTATAACAGCAAAGTGAAGGGATATTTTTGTTAGGATTCTGTCATACTGGAGGCATAAGGAATATCATGCACAATTCTCATTGCTGTAGAATCACATAGAGAATATTTAAAGACAAATTTCCAGACCTCATTCTCAACAATCCTGACTCAGTAAATCTGGGGAGGGATTTGGGAATCTGAAATTTTAGAATGCCCTCCAAGTAATTCTGGTATGTAGCAAGTAAGTAGTCAGAATTTGGAAGTCAAGTCAATCTAAAAATCCACTGCTGGGTAAGATGGTTTTTTTATTCTTGATGAATCATTAAAAAGAGGCCAATTAGTTTCTCTTGATTTATATATTATTTCTGAGTCTCTAGCTTTAGGAAATTACAATAAAGAAGTCAAAATCTCTCAGCAATGGTTTCGCTCAACCACTCTCGTTGCACTAGGTTTATATAAAGAAAACTCTACATTTCCATATTGACTGATAGTGTAAGACCCAATTTGCTTTGTCATAGAACTAGCTTAGGCTTTATCACACTCAGCAAACCCCTATCAATCCTGTCATCCCAGGGCCACTTCCAGTCTGTTTATTCATGCATTCATTCAACAGCAACAAAAAATTCTGAACACTTGCCAGTCACTGTTAGGTACCAGAGGATATAGCAGTGAACTGGATAAAATTCCTACTGCATGGAGCTTACATTCTAGCTGCTGGGGTGGGGTGGGGTGGGGAGGAGGATGGGCTTCTCTTTAGACTTGCCTCCTGTACAAAATTTTCCCCAGCCTATCCTAGTCTGGATCTTCCAATGAGAAATTTTCTCAAAACTTAATAGAGAAAGGGTAAAATTTGTTCCCTGGACACACCCTATCCTTTTAAAGCCGATTCTGAGGCTTTGGTGCTTGCCTGTTATGTAGTTGCTAAGACTATCCATTGGCTTCGTTTACTTCTGTTCTTTCTGATACTGTATGTGTAGCTGAGTGAGTTTTGAGTCTAGTCTCAGGAGGGATGACACTCCTTTTGGAGTTAGTCCTCATATGATTAATGAGTACTTTTCAGTGATACTAACATCAAAATAAGCCCACTGTCTCACCTGATTGAAGATTAGAGCCTGCACCTACGGATTCTCTTTAGTGGGATTACTGGAAAACCTAACAAATAGGGACAAGTTTTGTAAAAGTAAGTCAAAGAATGTCAGAACTAGAAGGGACCTCAGAGATGCAGCCCCACTGCCTTTTAAAGATCCTAAGTCTGAGACTCAGAGAGGTCACCTGGGTTGCCTCAGGACACACAGCCCAATAGATGGATGTGAATCAGTGATCAAATCTAACGTACAAATCACACTGATGTTCCTTCTCCTAAAATGTAACGTCTAAATCAGGTCCAATCTTCTCACCGCTCCCACCCATCCTCCTTTCTTGTATGAAATTCTTCATCGCTCTTTCTTGAAGAGTCGAGTCATTAAAACTTGAAGTTAGGGCATTCAACAAACAGGTGTCCAGACCACGGACACGGAGCCTGAGAATGTGGATCTCCACATGCCGGCCGAGAACTCTCCAGCTCCCGCTTACAAAGTTTTCTCGGATCCTACGTTTCTCTTTCAGATCCCTGGCTGCGAGGCCAAGATGCCTGCTGTGGCCTCCGACGAAGTTCGGAGATGCCATTTCCTCACAGGAGCGTGGCCCGGGCGGGCCAGCCGCTGAGCCGAACGTCCTCAGGCCCGGCGGGGCGGCGGGGGACGCCAGGCGCGGGGCTGGGCGGGGCGGCCCCTCGGCGCGCGACGGCCCGCCCCGGCTGCGAGAGCCGCGGGCCCGCGAGTCCCGGCGCGGAGCGAGAGGCGCGCGCGGGCCGTGGGGGCTGGGCCGAGGCGGAGCGCGAGACGGCAGCGGCGGCGGGCGCCGCGGGACCAAGCAGCGGCCCCCGCCCCCCGAAGTCCGTCCCCGCGCGGGGCTGGGGAGCTCAGGGCGGGGAAGCCGCGGGGCCGCGCCACGTCCCTCGCCCGCCCCAGAGCGGGTTTTGCAGGCGGCTCCAGGCTGGGGGCTTTTGTGTCTGCGACTCGGGAGCGGCGAGAGCGCAGACCTCCTCCTCAGAGGGCGCTGTGAGTGCGCCGCCAGGGCCCGGCCACCCGCCTCCTGCCTCCCCTGTCAGCGGCTCCCGAGGCGGCGGCGGCGGCGGCGAGGAAGAAGGAGTGGGAGGAGGCGGCGGCGGCGGCGCACTCGTCCTCCGCACATGCCGGCCCCGGGCGGGGGGCCGCCCCCAGGCCGCGCTCCCGGCCGCCGCCGCTGAGCTCGGCCAGCCCCCGCACACCGCCCGGCCGCCCCGAGGCCTCGTCTTCCTCCCAAACTTTGCAAAGTCGGCCCGCGTCCCCGCCGCCCTCGGCCGCGCCTCGGCTCGGAGGCTCGCCTCGCAGCCGCAGCGGCCCCGCGAGGAGGAGGAGCCGCCGCCGCAGCATCAAAGAGACCGAATTCCCGCGGCCTGGGGGGGAGTCATGCTTTGCGGTCTGTAATGTCAGCAGAACAGGAGAAGGATCCCATTTCGCTGAAGAGAGTTCGAGGTAACCGGGAAGGGCACGGGATTGGGGGATTCGGGGTGAGTGGGGTGCGCGGGGGCCGCGTGCCCGGCCGCTGGGAGGCCACGGGGCTCTGTCCGGGCCTAACTCCGCGCAGCCCGCGCGTCCCGCCTGCGCCCCGGGGCCGAGGCTGCGTTTCGAGGCGCGCGGCCCCGGAGCCCGCTCGCCCCAGACACCCGCGCGGAGCCCTCGCCTCCGACTTTGTGTGAGGCGGCAGTTGAAGCCGCGCTCAGCATCCCTCCGTACCCCGCTCCTCTCCCACCTTAGCTCGTTCGCAAGACAGCACAATAGGCACCTCGAAGGGTGAGAAAGAAACACCCCCTCCCCGACAGAGACCACGAACGATGCCCACCCCCCAAAAAGTAAGTTGGGCTGCTCAAGAGTTGACGCTTTGAGGAAGGTGTACCGGGCCTTCGCTTCTCTCCCAGCCCCCTTCCCACCCTCAAAGGCAACATATATACAGCGTTATTTTCCTTGGGTTGAAGAGGAGACACTATATAAATTCAAAAGGCATTTTCTTTGTGGGCTTATGGATAAGAATCAAATCACCTAAAATCAATTTAATACGTGATTGGTTTGCGTCTTCCTTGCACACTAGTTAGGAAATTTCCTGCTGCCTTACTATCGAAGAAAAATCGGAGGGAACGCCGTACCAGACAAAAGATAATGCGTGTAAGTTCACAGATGCCAAATAGCGGCTGGAAATTTGGGGGATATCCTCCAGCTTTTATTTTCAACTCTAAATGGGATTAAGGCTGAAAGTCCCAAAGTTGAAATAACACTGTTCATTAAGCAAATATTTATTGAACATGTACTGTGTGCTGTGCACTGTTCTTGGCACTGGGGTACAACGGTGAACAAAGCAGGGAGAGTCCTCACCGGGTAGCAGTTCACACTCTAAGGAGATAATGAACAAAAGATATAGAATGTCAGATAGTAAGTGCTCTGGAGATAAACAAAGCAGGTAAAGTGGTTAGGAAATACATAAGAGGTGGAGAGGTATAGGTTATCTGTAAGAGGATCTGGAAGATGATGTTTGAGCCAGGACCAAAGGAAGTGATAGACCAGAGCCATATGGGTATGCGTGGGAAGAGCAGTCACAGCGAAAGGAACAGCGAGTGCAAAGGCCCTGGGTCTGGAACTTGCTGTGTGTGTTCAAGCAACAGCAAAGAAGTTATGGTAACCAGCAGAGAGTGAGCAAAGGGAGAGTAGTATGAGCTGAGGAGAAAAGGTGAGAAGAGGTATATATATTATTATTTGAGAGACCATGCATGCACACGAGGGGAGGAGGGGCAGAAGGAGAGGGAGAAGCAGACTCCCCGCTGAGCAGGGGCTCAATTCAGGACTCTGAGATCTTGAGCTGAGCCCAAGGCAGACACTTAACTGACTAAGCCACCCAGGCACCCCAGGAATTATATTTTTAACAGGGTTTCTCTGGCTGCCCTGTGGAGAATAGACTGGGGTGAGGCAGGAAAGCTAGTTAGGAAGCTACTGCAATAATCCTTTCATCCAAACAGGATAAAGTGCTTTATAAATCAGTAAGGAGTAAGGTAAATTTCCAATTGACTTAAGAGATGTAGAGATCAAGAACCACAGTCATTCATCTATGTTTTTGTTCCATGTGACTAGAGATTAATCCTAGAGAACCGGATTGTAACACAGTAACAATGTGTTGATGATCCAAAAGACATCACTTGTGTATTTAGGTAGAGATTGATTTTCTTAGCCATTTAAGCAAAAACATAATTTAGAGCAGAATATTGTTTTTAAGGTTTAATACCAGCATAGGTTTTCTTTTTTTTTTTTTTTAAAGATTTTATTTATTTATTTGACAGAGAGAGATCACAAGTAGGCAGAGAGGCAGGCAGAGAGAGAGGGGGAAGCAGGCTCCCTGCTGAGCAGAGAGCCCGATGTGGGGCTCGATCCCAGGACCCTGGGATCATGACCTGAGCCGAAAACAGAGGCTTTAACCCACTGAGCCACCCAGGCGCCCCCAGCATAGGTTTTCTATTGCAGCTTCCTTTTCTGTTTGTGGTTTTGAGTTGCCAAACCCGTTAAGGAATAGACCTTTCTGAAATACAGTTATTCCTCTGATATTTTTGCCATATTATTTTGCCGATTATTATAAATTACTTTGGGGTTGAAGGAAAAGAAAGTTCTCAGGTTTATACCTTTGAACTCAATTATCAGTCTTAAATGTAATTTTAAATAAAATGGATGGATATTTTACTGTAGATCAAGAGCACAAATCTATCTTTATTTTGTTCCAGCTACTGCTTTTAAGTTTGGTGCCTTAGCTGTATGTAGTCGGCTCAGGTGTCAGCTCAGGAATATTCTGCAAGTTAAGTACCAGAATAAAAGGCAAAGAAAGCACTTTTCAAAATGAAAAATCAAAATGAGGAGGAGTTTTTATAATAAGCTACTTTGTAGTGACTATAACATTAATTTTTAAAATATTTTGGATTATTTTATAAAAGGTATCAGAATATCTATATGAGTGATTCTGAAACACAATTCAGCTGAACTTGACTGCTCTGCAACTTTTTGTTGTAATTTATATCCTAAGACATGCAGGATGTGGTCTTTGCAGAATACAAACTGTGAACAGTGCTTCTTAAACTGTTTACCATCTACCAATGTATACAGACAGACTTTTAAATAGTTATGTATTTGTTTCATGTGTATTATAAAAAATATAAGTCATCAGACCTCTTGTTTAGTTTAAGGCTAAGATACACACAATTTAAATTTGAAGAAATTATTAAGCAAACAGTGTCACAGATGGAACTCAGATATGACAAAATTATGACAACATGACTAAGGACTTTACAGTAGTATGCTTTGTAGACCAAAAGTATATCCCCTGGGATATTTATTAAAAATGTAGGTTTCAGGGCACCTGGGTGGCCCAGTGGGTTCAGCCTCTGCCTTCGGCTCAGGTCATGATCTTGGGGTCCTGGGATCGAGCCCCGCGTCGGGCTCTCTGCTCGGCAGGGAGCCTGCTTCCTCCTCTCTCTCTCTGCCTCCCTCTCTGCCTGCTTGTGATCTCTGTCAAATGAATAAATAAAAATTAAAAAAAATTGTTTAAAAAAATGTAGGTTTCTGGGCCCACAGAATCAGAATTTCTGGGTGATTTCTCTACATCTTTAACAAGATCCCTTGTGTTCCTTATGCCTACTAAGGTTTGAGACCCAATGATGGTAGACCTAGATTGAAAAGGTGAGTGGACAAGAGGAAGCTGATTTGGGGGTCTTCTAAACCTGTCCTGATATTTTAATATTAGATTCAGAATTGTTATTTAGTGGCAATGTATCTTACTCTTATTTTCTACCAGTTGTTACCACCCTCAGCCCCTCAGCCCTTGATTATAAGAAAGATCCATGAAGATAGGTACAATATCTTGGTTATCTTACTATTTCTCCCCTCATTGTTTTGCCTGTAATATATGCCAAATGAATGAATGAGTGAATACATGAAGTAACTCATTCATATATTTATGCTGATTTTTGATTGTCTGGTCTCTTAAAATGTTACCTGTCATCCTTATTTTAACCAATATTCTCATTATGCAGTATTCTCAGAACTCTTAGGTGTTGATCTGATCACAATATCAATTCATTTATTCAGCAAATATTTATTGAGCAGTCATAGCACTAGACAGGGGAAATATTGATTAGGAAGACATAATACTGTTTTCCAGAAGTCTTTAGGATGCAGACAAATAAGTAGTTAGAAACAGCATGAGAAGTGCTGTGATCATCTATAGGAAATAATGGAACCTATAACCTATCTTTAAGGGAATCAAGGAATGCCTTCTGGAGAAGTGTTCTAAGAAGTGTTCTAAGTGTTCTAAGAAGCAGTGAGTATTCCTTTGTGGAAATGATGTAGAAAAAGCAGCAAGGACAATGGGGATGAGAAAAAGGTTTAGTAAGTCAGCAGTGGTTTTAAAAAGGCACTTCTGGGAAAAAAAACACATTTTCAAGTAGTAAAAATTGAGTGATAAAAATGTGATGTAAAGAAGCATGGTGGTAGACAGAAAGACATAGCCAGTAGGTTGGAAGGATACAATTAAGAGAAAGTGTCTTTTTTTTTTTCTTTGAAGATAGACAAACATATGGTAGACTTACAGAAGAACATGAGAGGGGAGAAACTGAAAAACATCAGAAGAGAGGATAATTCATTAATAAAACATTCAATACATGTTTTTGAATATGTACCATGTGCTGAGCATTCAATGTGGGAAGCTAGAGGTGAGACAGAAAAGGCTTCTTTCTCATAAGTCACATCTCTGCAGATGAGAGAAGGGAAATAGAATGAAATGAAGAGGTAGTCATGGAGAAAAAAAGAGAGTGGAGAAAGAAATTTAGAGATGAAGAAGGAAGTTGAGCATTCATTCCAGATGAAGTGTTTTTAACCGGAGTTAGGCATGACATTGGAGATGTTGGGATGTGGTTTAGAATGGGATAATAGCATAGAGATATCATAAAAGTAGTAAAAATATACTTGTAGGCCATGTTGAGTGAGTGTATGGAGGATTTGGATTCAGACTGGAGATGAAACTTAATTTAGGTAGTCATAAAGTGGAGGGGAGGAGCTAATTGAAGTCTAAAGGAAAGATTTTAGGGGGTTTTGCTGTTTTATTTTTTCATTGGTACATATAAAGGCTAAACATTATCAGGAAAGTAGTTTGATTTTCAACACCTTGCATGAATAGCCCCCTGAGGTGTTTCAGTGTGCACAATGGATATACATGGTTTGGAATTGAGGAAAGTGGGCTGAGCCAGAAATAGAGATCTGGAAGTTATCAGTAAACAAGTAAACTAATTGATGCCTTGGGAGTAGATAACTCACTCGGGACAGTGAGAAGTGAGAAGAGAAAAGCAACTTTGAAACTAGTATTTAGAAGACAAAGGGTGAAAAGAGGACTCTGAAAAGCAGAATGTGAAGGATTAGCCTGAGAGGTAGAAGGAAAAAACCGAAAGAGG